AGGCACCAGGATCTGTGTGTTTTCCCGTGCAGCGACTCGCTGTGCTGGCTTAAACAGCGACACTGAGATTTGTGGCGCTTTTTTTTGCCCTGGAATCTACTGTCCTGGTTCCCTGTTCAGTCCCCTTTTTAAACAGATGAATGGGTGACTTCCTGTGGCTCCCATCACCAGCCAAAAAAGCACCCAGACCAGTGTATTTTGTACGGAGAACCACTGGGGTGGGGCGCTGACAAAGCAGCCATGCGGCGCAAAGCAGCCACTCCGGGTGACACAGCTGCGCTGGCCAAAACAGCCACACTGGCGACCTGTGGGGCTTCTCCACCTGGGAATCTCCTAGTCTGTGGGCAATAAAAATGCAGCGTCCACTCACCCTCTGCGCTTTCACTGGGAGCTGCAATCCTGAGCTGTTCCTAAACGGCCATCTTGGATCTGTTTTGGTTTTTTATGCTTATGCTTTATATCACCAATTTAATTGTAAGATCTGTGAGGAAAGAAAGTATGTCTTGTATTGATTTGTATTCTTCCTCCCCATCTTCCTCCTCTTTTTGCCTAGCACTTAGTGTTCTATCTCAACTATCTAAAGTTATTGATGTTCAGCAGGATGACAGATTGTCTCTTTTTTATGTGCTAAGGCAGTAAACTTATAAAATATAAGCTTTTCATAATTGGAAAATAGCATTCACATCCAAGAACTTTCAAAATCACATATTTAATTTTTATGACAATTCGTAGATTGAGAAATATATTTCTTTAATTGGTTTCTACTTGCTTGCATATCTAGGGCTAAGCTATTCTTTGGCTAGATGATTGCCGAGTTCACCATCATGAAGTAAAGTCAATGTCCAAAGATATTTTTACCAGCTTCTTGCTTGCCAGTGTACCTGTCTTATTGACTCAGCCTGTGAACCAGGGCACTATTTAGAATATGAAATGTTATTATGGAAGAGATTTCATGAAGTTTATAGATTGTGTAGGCACTACAAAGAACTTTACAGTCTCATAGTGGCAAAGATGCCATTTTAACTATTGCTTATGCCTAGGCAATCTCAAGGAGAATTCAGAAAAAAAAAAAAAAAATGGGCTGGGTATTTGAAGTCTCTGTGGAAGAAAAATAAATGAAGCATTTAGGATGAGGCCTTAAAAATAACTTATAATACACTCTTGATGATAAAGAATGTTCGTTTACATCTAATCAGCAAGGCTTGATGGAAGCGTAGTAAAAGAGTGGGTTAACTTTGACAAGGGGTTAAAGTGACACAGTATCACTGATAGCACATAAGTTAAAGCACACCAGTCAAGTCAATGAAGACAATTTTAGTGAAGAAAACAAAACAATTTTAGAAAAGACCGCTTCACTCTTCATTGTAATAATTGCATTTACAGACAGGCAACCACATTATCTGGCCCAGGAGATTATGCATTTGTATGTTCTACACTCAGCTTTTATAAGCAACAATGCCAAGACTAACTTTTTAAAAATTTTAAGTTATGTCATAGTATCAGTACAGAGAATCCAGTCTCTAACATCTTCTACATCTGGCTGAGCAAGATTGTCCTTAAGGCCCCTTCTAGATTCTAGCTTTCTTAAAATCCTGTAAGTGATTACCAGTGTTCCTCATGATGACGCCAGGGTACTACAAATTTTTGAAGTGATTCCTAAATCCAGGGAAAGGTGATTCTCTCTTGTTCAGTATAGTTATAATATTCTTATGCTTTGAAAATCTGGGATCCTGAATGGAAAATATTACCAGTTTACCTGAATATTTACTTTATTGAAACACTTCATTCCCTGATCATTCTGGATCATTTACTTATAATCTTTGTAGGTGGATTTTTGTTTTTCTTAAAAGAAGGGGAAGCTTTTGAGGCCTAGATCTCAAGGGTTAGATCGTTGGCTGTTAAGACTCCCTTGGATTGCTTTTTGACTGTTGGCTGTAGCAACTTGTTTTCTTACAGAGATGAAGCATCTGGTTTTTGTTATCTCAATGATGCTGTCCTGGGAATATTGCGATTGCGACGGAAATTTGAGCGTATTCTCTACGTGGATTTGGATCTGCACCATGGAGATGGTAAGCTCTTTGGTTTCAAATATGCTTTGCTGCTAGGACAGCAGGTTTTTATCTGTTATCTGCTTCTAGGCAACTGATAAAAGGAAAAATGTCTGCTGTAATTGAAATTTTCCTAATTGAAAATTTAAAGTAGGTCATGTAGTGATTCCTCTAACTGATGCAGTTGCTGCTTTGCTGCCTAAACCAGACTCCTGTAGTTTTCTCTCCTCTCTCCTCCTGTAGCAAACCTACAGAACTAATAGAGAATGTTAAGAAGTGTAACTCTTACCTAGTGTTTACTCCAGTGCTCAGTAATCTCCCTCAGGCCATTTCCATTGGTTCTAAGGGAATCTATAGTTAGAGATGACAGTCTTGTCTCTTTTATTGATGCTATTCTCAAGATTGAGTGGGTATATGGGCTAACATTCTGAATTTTTCACCAATACCTGCCAGCTCGTGTCGTAATCAGAATCTGTGTCATTTTCTTTGGATTGCTAAAATATCTAGTGCCACACAAACAGGACATATTCCCTAACGTTTAATAGCAGAATCTCATAACAGTTTGCCTTTACCTATTAATTATCTCTTAGAAGACTCCACTGACAGGACTTATCCGACCCTTCTATGTATTTTCCATCTAGAATGTAGAGCTCCAGTAACAGTTGCCACATTCTGTTTTTTTAAGAAATACTGCCTGGGACACATAGTATTTGCATTTATTTAAGAATACTTATCTCGTAAATTCTTAAAAATACTCCTCCCCCACATCAGTGATTGCTATTTCCCCATTTCCAGGGATTTTTTTTTTTTTTTGAGACAAAATAACATAATCACGGCACAGGGAGGAAAAGAATATTACATGTCAGAAGTTAGGGTCAGCTCTGCTGCCAAAACAGAGAAAGAAGGATGAAATTGTGGAGGCAACCTTTGCAGGGAGTTTCATCTGCATGGATGCTACCATGTGACAATGACAGAAAATTAAAGGTAACAGAGAGAAGAGAAGTTAAAACACCAATATACTACTTTGAGAACCATTTTCACTGAATATCTGAATACTCAACCAGTGCAAAACATAGCCTTGCTCAGAAGACTTCAGAGAATCCTTATTGCTTATAACAAGGGGTAGCGTTTAACCTATGTCTTATTTTTGTATGGCCAGTTAGCTAAGAATGGTCAAGGATAAGTTTTCCAGCCAAGTGCAGTAGCTCACACCTGTGATCCCAATATTTTGGAAGGCTGAAGTGGGAGGACTGTTTGAAGCCATGAGTTTGAGACCAGCCTGGGCAACAAAGCGAAACCCCCATCTCAAAAAAAATATATAGCTGGGTATGGTGTTGTGTGCTTATAGTCCTAGCTTCTCAGGAAGCTAAGGCAGGAGGATCACTTGAGCCCAGGAAGT